ATTTTTTGTAGTATTTTAAAATTTCTTTTTCTTATTTTACAAGATAATAACTCCATTAACTTAATTAAAAAATAAAAATAGAACATCTCCATATTTCTTAAGTTATTTTTCCATTTTAATCATGCACTCTAACCTTAATTCTAAATTTCTAATTCACCTGCAATTTTATCCCCTTAGAACTGATTTATGCCTTTACTCTTAGAACCCTAAATTTCTAATTTATTCTTAAAATAATCTTATGATTCTCATAACTAAGTTTTAAATAAGTAATATTTTAAAAATCTTAAAACTATATAATAAAATTGGTCTTGATATTTTACTATTCTTGGATATTTAGTTTAGAAGTTTTAAATTTTGATTATAAATGCTTTTAATTAATTTTAGAGATATTCATGTTAAATTTTATTTATTTTTAATAGGATTTAGAAGATGAGATTAAATTATTAATGCATTAAGAAAAAAACTAATTTTAATTTTTAAGAATTATTTATGTTATGCTAGAAACTTGAAGTCATATTTTATTGTTCTTAGTGCCTCTAGTGATGTAACCAAAACGAATTTTTAGATCTTTTTAATTTTTACAAATGTAAATGAGTATATGAACTCGTTTATAATTTGTACTTTTTATTATGTTTTTATTGATTTGCTTGCTAATGTGTTTTATGGTTAGCTTTCTATTCGATATTAAAATATTTTTACATTATTTTATATATTTAATAATGTTAAAAATCGATCAATCTGATTGAACCACATCGATCCAATTTAAGTTGGATTGGTTTGGTTATCATATAATAATGGATTGGATGGGTTTAAAAATTTTATTAACCGATTAAATTGGATTGGTTTAAAAAATATTAAAATCCGAACCAAACCAAACGACGAACACCCCTAATTAGCTCTTAACATTTATTTTAAGATTTAAATTGGTTAAATACCCGATTTGGTCCCTCAACTTTCATTTTTAAACCAAATTTATCCTCAAACTTTAAAAAATACTAAAACAATCCCTTAATTTCAATTTTTGGGACCAATTTTATCCTTCCGTCAATGGAAGTGGCAGATGGCATGTTAAGTTCCTAAAAAATAATATACTTTTAATAACATGTAAAAAAATGTGTCTCTTTTAATGACATGACATTTGTTTCCCTTCCACGTCAAATTATTATAATTTTACAGTTTCATTTAACCATTTTAAGTACTTTGTACATTAAAAATTTTAAATTACTTAAATGCCTCCTTCTTTATCCTCCAACCCCTTTTTCTCTTTGCCGCTACCTTTTCCTCCTTCAACCCTTTTTCTTCTCTCAGATCTGATCATCCCTCACTACTTTGATCATCCCTCACCACTTTGATCACCATCTCCAGTTTGTATAAATATGCTTAACCTAGAAACCAAAAAAGTCTAATTTCAATCTCAGCCGACCTCTTGCCTCTCTCTCCACTTGCTGCCTTTTTGTTTCTCCTCCTCTTCAATTTCTAATCTTCACCTCGCTCTCTATCTCCTTTCTTCTTTGTTGGTGTTGATTCTCAACTCCCAATCAACACATCACCGTGAGATCACCAAAAGGAAAATAATTTTTTTTCCTTCTCTTTCCCCTTGGGGTCTGCTGGTTCTTTCAAACCGAGTAGACTTGGAACCCAGCAGTAATAGCGGGTGGAACCCAGCGATAGTAGCGGGTGGAACCTAGCGGCCACAGTTGGTGGAACCCAACGGCCGTAGCAAGTAGAACCCAGCGACCGTAGTGGGTGGAACCCAACAACCGCAATGGCTGGAACCCAACATGCTTGGGTTCAAATAGCTAAGTTCAAACACAATGGTGGCCGCTGGGTTCTAAGTTCTAGCAATTGGAACCCAATGGCCGTAGTAGCTGGAACCTAGTGGCTGTAGCGGCTAGAATCCAGCATGTTTGGGTTCGAACAGCTGAGTTCAAACATAATGGTGGCCATTGGGTTCAAATGTAATAAATGTTTTTGTTTTGTGCAAAAAATAAAAAGATTTTTTATTTTTTATGGTTTTTATTGTTTGATGATGATGAATAATTGATTGATGAAGAATGATGATGAAAGTGGACTCGATCTTGCCACTAATGCCCGTGTGTTCCATTTAAAGTGAAGAGCGAAAGCAATGAGAATCCAATGTAGAGAATAAAAATCCCTTGTGGCATGTGATGGGTAAGTAATATTCCATGTCATTAAAGGTTTAAAATAAAAAAATGCTTTCGTGGCATCTTAATGTGCCATTTGCTACTTCCCTCGACGGAAAGATGAAATTGGTCCCAAAAATTGAAATTTAAGGATTGTTTTAGTACTTTTTGAAGTTTGATGGTAAATTTGGTTCAAAAATGAAAATTTAAGGACTAGACTGGGTATTTAACCATTTAAATTTAAGATCTTTAATTTAAAACTCTCGTATTCAAACAGATGGAGTTTTCCTAGAAGACAACTTGCATGCATTAAACACTACTAATTTATATTATAGAAAAGTATTATGTAATATGATTTGATGTTAGATTGCACAACTATAACTATTGATAGAAGAGGGTTCCATAAATATAGGGTCTTTCTCCTCCCAAATCAAGTCATCATTATTTAGTTGAATTGCAACAACAATGATCTCTTTATAATATGATATGAAATAGAAACCAAAGTAACATCCAAAATGACCCAGGAGATGACAAGTTGGAATACAGCTCTACATATTGCCTCGTTATCCCCAAGAATTAGAATTGGCAAAATTACACTCGACCCGTTAATCTGATTCTAATTTAATTTGTAAAAAATAGGTTAGGGTCAAGTAATATTAGACCCATGACTTGTTTGGGTCAACCCAAACACGTCATGTGTCAAACATGGGTCAACCTGTGGGTTTACAAATTCAACCATTTGACCTGTTTGTTTTTAAAATTTTAATAAATATATTTTTGTAAGATAATTTTTTAAGACAAAATAGCTAACAAATATAATTTAAAAGAAATCTAATATGATGGTGATCATTACAATTTATAAAACTTTTTAAATAAAGTTGATTATATTCATTTAAAATTTATAAATCAAGTAATATATACTATATATGATTCTCACTAAAGAAAACAAAAAAAAAAAAGAATTATTCAAAATATTCCACAAAAAATAAGTCATTTTACTTAAATTAATCAAATAAAGAGAAGCAAAATTATTAAAAATT